TAAAAACTATTATGAATTTAACGACAGAAATATCACAATTGAAATTCAATCACAGCTCAGAGTTGTTGTTAATGTCATCGAAAGATAAGGATAACAGCATTAAATGCGTTCATATGAAGACTTTGACCGTTTATCCAAACTTTCCGTTTGCGGCCAAAAATTATGGTCGAATTAATGATTCAGATATATCTCTGAACAGCGGTTATATGACATTAGCCACGAATGGCGGAACCGCTCATCTCTTTAGGTTAACTGATTTCGGAGACTATTAAGCATTTTGTGGTTATTTTTATGATCGAAAATATATATTTAAAAATTTCTAATTGATATCTCATGTTATGGATAATTATGTATAATTTAAATAAAATGATTTAATTACCAGAATTGGAGCATTTTCTTGCATTATTAACATTTAATAAATTCAATAATAATAGTCTTCTGAATACCATTTAAGCAGAAAATTTGAATAACAACTTAACACTAATTTGTTTATCAAATTTACTGATTATACAAATCATGAAATTTATGTTTGGTCTCATATTTGGTTCAAACGTTTGGCAAAACATTAAAAAAAAAGTAAAGGAAAGGTTGAATGAATTTTAAAATTATTTTTTTGTCGTAAATATTATTTAAAATTTGATTTGGGATTCAAGATATTGTATCAATTTGTTAAACACTTTTTGTAGATTCTGAAACAATCTCATTAAAATTGGCAAACGTCCAAACTATCAGTACTTTCTTCAGACACTAGCTGTCCCTTTAATTTACTTTAAATAATAAAATTTATTAAATAAATCATTTAATAAATATTTGTTACTTATTTTGCACTTATCTTGTTTTGAGTTCTGTTTTATATCAAAATTCACTTTATTTTAGTTTTACTTCTAATAAATTTTTGTTATTTTATTTGATAATCAATGGAATAATTATTTGAACCCACTTTTGGATATTAAGCAAAATATTATACGGATATATTGACATTGTTTTTCTATTGATTTGATTTATTTCAAATATAAATATCTTTAAGTATAATTTATAATTAATCTTATGTCTAAAAATTATTGTAAATTAACTACAAAGTTGTTAACTGTTTAACTTTAGTCCTGAAGTTAATATAATCTAATTATTGAACAATATTTTTAAAATTTGTTAAACATAAAATAAATACTTTACTGTTACTGTACATTAGCAGTTAATTATAATAACTGTAAGTATTATTTATTTTAAAAACTTAACATGTACAATCTATTCTTTGTATCAAAACTGCAAGTATTTTATGTGATACACGAATTTGATTACAAAAATTACAAAAAGTAATATTATAAAAACTAACTTAAAAATTAGATGCAATTATTTTAGATATAACATGGTTAAGACTGGAAGAGATATACACTTCAAAGTTTATTTCTGTAAATGCAAGCAATTTAGAGAGAAAACACGTGCTATTGTCTGAGGGATGAGATGAAAGAGTATAACACAACTGTTTTACAGAATCTGTAATACAGATATATCACTGCCATTGGGGTACTATTGGCGCATCGATTCTCGTGTCCTATTCTTGTCTCAATAGTGAGACCAAAGTTTGATCAAACAATTGGTACAAATGTTTTAAAATCAAAGCTCATCCTCACAATGACAACTATAGTCTATAGCACTTATCTTTTCGCTAAGCTCTCACAGCATTCCTATTAACTTTGATTATATTATACAACACTATACTTATGTGATAAAAACGGACATTTTATCAATAGGCGACGAATTGCCTTAAAATATTTCGGAGAATGCAATGGAATATAATTTGAAAATTATATCCTCTTCTTGTGTTCACTATTAATATTATTTTAAGATATTAATAGACAATTAAATGCATATAGTTAAACGAGTTCAGACAAACAACAGTAAAGAATTTGTGCATGTACATCCAAACAAACACGTACTAACAACTTTCGATATAATGAATATTTGATACAATGTCCTAAAAACATGATCACTATATCAAGATTTCACTGTATATTTATTATGTAAAGCAGTTGAGTGCTGGGACTACGAAATGGAGTACACTTTATCTAGATTTAGCATTGTATTCATTGTAATTTATCTAATTCACATGATGTAAAGTACTAAACGAAATATTATATTTTAATTGTGATAATTTGTAAAGAGTTCCGAAAGAAAATGACTAACACATAGATATTAAATTCAATAGGAATAAGCTATTGAGAGAATAGGGTTTCAATGGCAGTCATAGTTGCGGGTGTTTTAATTGTCATAACTTATTGTTAGTAAATGCTATTATTTATTTATTGATTAAAAATGATAACTAAATAGTCATTAGTGTTTATTTTTCAAGATGTCTTCAGATGAATGCAATAATTATTTGGCGACAAAAATGTGAAGTACTGTATGTTTTGCTTATAATAAACTCTTCATTAAATCAAAGATCGCTTTCAATTAAACAATTAGATGCATAACATAACCCTTATCTTAGATTCCATGGTTTGAAATCTGTAAATTATATGTGAATTGCGCTTTAAGTCCTGTATTTTATGCAACTATTGGTATATTTATCAATATTACATATATTACAGTATATACCGGTATTATAATAATGTAATATTTAATTAAGGGGTAAATTCTGTATGAATCATTTAAATGCAAATAATTTAACAAGTTTTATATCAAATATAATAATTCAATTGTGAGCATTTTTAAATTCTCTATTGTAATAAAAGTATTAATTAAATATTTAAATTAAAATAACAATGAATGTAATAAAACAGTGTTTAGATATGGTATTATCGGTTGCGTTTTCATTGTCACAATTATGATATAATTGTTGTGATTTACTCGATATTAAAGTCAAATATAAACATAATTTTAATATCAAGTGTGACTTGATTTATGCACTAATGTACTAAACAATTCAGTCAATAGTTAGGCAAACATTTTGAAATAAATCAAATATGAGATACAAATTCCAAAAAAACAATTATTAGATAAATAGTAAACGTTTATAAACCATATAAACGTATAGCCATTTAAGTACATGGGATTTGGTTTAACATTTGAAATGTGATAACAATTTGGAGAAATCCTATAAATTCTATTACTTTTTCAACGAATTCTGTTTCAGTAGTTTATAACAGTTGGCAATAAATATAATTTTATTGTATTTATTTGTAATGTTTTTTTTTTGTAATTAAGTATAAATTATTGTAATCATATTTATTGTGACTATTTATAAAAGTGCTGAAAACAATTTTCATCGTGATTTAATTATTTTCAAAATAATTGTTTAAATTACACTAAAAATGTCAAAAATATGGTTTGGATTACTGCTGGCAGTGGGTCTGCTGTTAGTGATGGCGGGATCTGTTATACTCGGAATATTACCTCAAATTATAAAAGACAAAGTTAAAGAGGTAAGCTTGGTGCCATATTTTTAAATATGAAAATATTTTAATATGATTTTAGCATGTTAGAATATTCTTATATTAGTTTAATAACTCCTTTAATTAATTAATGCTTGTAATTGTTATTATATTAGAATTGGAATAATTATATAATAAGTAATATTATAATTGTAAAACTATGTGTAGTTTTAACGACATTTAGACAAACATTTTTATAACAGATAAAAAGCAAGGAATCGCTTACCGTTAATGATAGGAGCGTCACATGTCTTGACATTTATTGTTATCTCACATAAAAGCAAAATGATATACATTTGGTTTACTATAGTTAGGAAAAAATAAAAAATACAATATTTCATTAGAATTATACTATATAATTTTTACCAACAAAGTTTTTATTTTACTTTAAAAATTACCTAAATTTAGAGTTAACATAATTGAAAGTAATGAATAGAATTTACTATAAAATTTTAGCCATAAAATATTACGACTGTTAAACGTTAAAATTTTAAACGATTTAACAATAAAGTGATTTGCAAAACAAACTGATAAAGTGGTAATATTTATTGTATTGATAGGAAATACCCTTCAATGACAATACGAGTGAAGCATTTGAGAGGTGGCAGAAAACACCGGTCCCTCTGTACATGAAATTCACTTTCTTCGTGTGTAAGAATGCGGACACTTATACCAACTTAAGTGACATTGAATTAGAAGAGAGAGGACCCTATGTTTACGAAGAGACCAGACTTAAGCAGAATATCACGTTTTATGACGACGAGGTCTCGTATTTGGAGAATAAGACTTATAAGTTTAGACCAGATATGTCTGGTCATGGTTTGAGCGAGGATGACAATGTCACCATCGTTAACTTTCCCATGATGGTAATTTCATTAAATTAAAGTTTTATTCATTATTATACTACATAATAAAGTATAGACTAACTTTATAAAGTGTACACTACAACTTGTTAAAACATATGTACTGTAGGGAATTGCATTCAATGATGGATTGGATGGTCTATCTCCAGGCGCTCAGTTGATGTATAAGGCGTTTTTAAAAGATTTGCCCCAAAATCAAATACCATTATTTTTCAAAGTAAAAGTGGTAGAGATATTATTTACTGGCGTCAAATTAGATCTGTTTGGAAAATTGATAGATTTATCAGGTGGTTTAATCACTAACAATACATATAGTGTTTCTGACGTAAGAAATAAATTAATTTTTGTAATTCTACTTAATATTAAGTCATTAAATATAAACAAATTTAGGGCAAAACATTATTAGAGCCCGAATGGACGGTAAACACCGGTAAATATGATATAGATCAAATCGGACAAATTACACACTTTCAAAATCAAACGTATGTGATATCTTATATTAGTTAAATCTAATACATCATAACTTATGCCATACATCAATATACTTACATAAAATATTACTTATAACTAGTTCATTAATAAATATAAACGAAGATCCAACAAAAATAACAGATATTTGGATCAACGACCCGTTTGCCCGTCACTGTAATAAATTGAAAGGAACTGACGGACAACTCTTCAAACCTAATCTAGAGAAAGAGGACACTATTTATGCGTTTGAACCGCAACTTTGCAGGTATTGTACAGAATTATAAATTATGTTAAAAATATTTTTATGTTTATGTGTTTATAAGAAATTATATGAAAAATTTATAAAATATGTGATTAAAAACTTTTAGATCGGTTTACTTTAAGTATTGGAAAGAGAGTGAAGTGCAAGACATAGACACGTATAGGTTTAGAGTACCGCAGGAATACTTTCAGTGTCCACTCGTTAACGAAGATAACACGTGTTATTGCAATAGAAATGTTTCGCTTTGCAATAGGAATGGTATGATTGAGATCGCTCACTGCCAGTACCGATCACTGGGCGCACCCATTATGATGTCATCTCCCTATTGGAATAACGGCGACCCAACTCTTCGCACGCAATTCAAGTCAGAACTAAAGCCACCCAAAGAACTCAATGATGACAATTACGGAACTTATCTTGATATTGAACCCGTAATTATATAATGCAATGCACTTTATTTTCGGTTAATATGAGATATTTATAACAAAAATACTTATTAGATAACTGGAACCACTTTAAGAGCTTATAAAAGAATGCAAATGAGTATAAGAATCGGTGGAAATGATCAAATGTTGTTTGATAATGACATATTCAAACTATACGTTCCGTAAGTTATTTTATAACCGTTAATGTTATGTTGTAATATAATAATTAATAATAATTAAACCCTATAATTCAGACAATTGGCGAAATCAAACAAATCAATTGAATATATTGTTCCCGTGTTTTGGGTGGAAGAGGTACTCATATAAATATATTTATTAATCAATAATTAATTAGTAATCAATATATTATTATATAATTAGACGGCAGAGGCAGACGATGACCAAGCTGATAAATGGAAATCAATGGTTGGCAATAAAGTCAAACTGGGAAAGGGTCTCTCTATAGCGGCCATAACTGTGGGCGGATTGATGGCTATAATTGCCATCTTTCTAATTTATAAATACCGATAATTACATATATTTATTAGTTATTTTTGAATTAATAGTCATGTTTAGTAATTTCATTATAAAATTGAGATATCATTTCATTTCAGACATTCCATTGACAATTGCAACTTAAATAATATTTGCTTAAATAAGAGGGTATTATTTTATAATATTATAAAGTTAGTATTAAATTATAACAAATTTAACTTAATTTATACTAAAAATAAAATAAAATGATTTTTCTAATTAAACGTTTTTTATTTTGCGTAAATATAATTAATTAATTATATAATAATTATTCCAAAATTATAACTAAAATTATTGCATCAGAATTAAAAACTTTCTATCTTGATAAAATTATATTTTAAAAAATTTGCATAACAGTTATTTTATATTAAAATTTTAACCACTTTACAAATATTTTAATAGATATATCATTTGAAATAATATATAACTGAAATACACTGATAGTACAAAATAAGTAATTTGGACTAATTTAACATTATTATAATAATGATAAACATTAAGCATAATTCTAATATATTTACAATTATATTAAGTGTTTATTACATTATAATTGTAATATATAAAAGATAATGTGATCTTTAATATTGATTTACTTAAATAAGCATAAAAATTATTTTTCTAAAGTTTCGCCAGAATTCTACTCAAAGTAAATATTTTGAATAATTAGCAAAATGTAAAATAATGTCCATAACTTACAAGCAATAAAATCATTTATAATAAAATATTACCTGTTTTATGACTTTTATGCATAAAACAGACAGTAATTAATTTTATTAAATAAAACGGAAAATCAATTTTAATTTCAAGGATTTTAAGAAAATTGAGTTCAGTTTTGAGAATATTTTCATCAATTTGTTTCCATATATTTTAATCGCTTTCTTGAAGTACTTTTCGTAGTCTTTGGTCTTTAAGACTATGAAAAGTAATGATTCATTCATTTCTATTGCCAAATGAAGACTAGAAATTAAGAAAAAAGATTTCCAGTCACGCTATCCACTAATTCTTAAGAAGTCAATGTTGTTTAGCATAACATTAATGCATAAAACACGCAATGAATACACAATAAAAAGCAAATATTTGACAATATTTTTATAGAATTTGCAATATTTTTAAGACGACCTGAACTTGAAATTCGTGATCAATTTATATGCGAATATAAAAAGTTGTATTCAATCTATTTATTACAGACCTTAACATTGGTTTTATAAGTTTATTCTTGAAAATTATTCTTTCGTTAACAATTGAAAACATCAAATATGTGTCGAGTATTGAGTTGTTGTTTTGC